AAGTAACTTAAGCTTATGTTTTAACTTATAGAAAAAAATATTCTTGAAGTGAGTTATGGACTATAGTCAAAGACTATAATTTAGGCTAACTATTAAGTTACTTAATTAAGTATATCTAAAACAATAAAACCGAAATTTAAACTAAAGTGTGTACCTTGATTTAAGCATAGTCTATGCTGTACAGTTTATTGCAGTTAGAGTACAAACACTAGAACTGTGCAACATAAGCTTAAATACCACTAAATTCTGCAACATATTCTATTGTTTAAATTGTCCCTTTTCCTACACAAATGTTTAATTGCCTTTAGATAAGGTAATTTTAATAGTATAGCTTACTCTCAAGCACCCTTTCACTAACCATCCTCCTAAATGTACCGTAAGTAATATAAGAAATGAATGATATCATACATAAAAAAACATTAAAATCAGCTTTGTCATACAGTATCAACTGAATCAATTGATTTTCTTTCTCTCTATCCATTTGCAGATAATTTGGATATATTATATCTTTCAAGATAATTTTAATAAAGCTAAGTAAACTTTGTATTCATTTTATTATTGTAAATTATTCAACATATTTTGATATTTTGCCTTCAATTTTCAGCATTTCTTATTATATTTGTGTATAATCTTGAAATGAAGCAAAAAGGTAAGAACATAGTGTTCAGTTGTTCAATTCATCACATTCATTGTGTGATTTCTTTGTTATTGGTCATTTATATTGCAACAAGTTTTTTTTATTATGTTTTTATTTATTATTTTTGTTATAATTTCCTTTTCTGCCTTATTTATATAACATGTTTTTTTAATATTTTATGATACATTTACTCTGCTTTTTAGTAAACAACAATTTTTTGTAAATAATAAAGATATAAAGATAATGTATTATTATTATTTTTTTGTAAATGCCATAWAGAAATATTATAATAACTAATAACAATGATAACAATATACAATCGAATTAAGAAATATTTTAAAATTATTGTCAGAGTGAGTTAATTTTAAAATATTTCAGTATAGTTTTTGGCGCATGCTAAAATATATAACTTGAGGAGACTTCCTTGAAAAAATGCATTGGGTTGATGTCAAAAGATCACTAATTCTGGAATTTTCTATTTTCAGTTAGAGAAACAAAGTGGACCAAAACAGTTGATCTCTTTCTGAAAGAAGTTCTGGGTGAAGGTAATAACAGTYTATTGAGTAAGGCTTCACTTTTGAACAGGTGGAAAGAAAGGAACCCAAAGGTAAACTTTCCACTGGATGCATTCTATGCCCAGTACATAAAGCTATCTAGAAGGAATGATAAAAAATATCAGACTMTTTGGACTGAAAAGATGGTTTGTGACCTGTTGATGTGCAAAGAAAAAGCAATACAGGAGCAAATCTCAATGGCAAAAAGAAATATTAAGGTATCATATATGAATATCATGCATTCCCATTGGTTGAAACTCTATCCTGATAGTGATTTAAGTGCTAAGAACTTGCAGACTAGATGTTATTTGGTTGATAAAGGAAAGAGATGCAGAAAGGGTAAGGTTAAAGGTACGTACGTGTATTTTCAAATTTAATGCAGTATCAACCGTAATATTTTATATTTATTACATGAATTATGAGTGATAAAAGTTTAAAAATTTCATTTATTTTATAGCTCTTATTTCCTGTTAAGTCATTAAAAAAATGAAAGATGCCTATTACAGATGGGCATAGCTATGCATAACAATTTACACAAAATGTACATGTGAAATTCTAAAATATTCAGTTGAATTTTCATTTTTATCAGTTGTGTATACATTTAGAGGATATTACATGGGAGCTCAGAGATAAGGAATTTTTATCTTTGAATGTTGAAAAGATCTCTCACAAGCATCCCCAAAAGACCATGCAATATTCTGTTTATTATACTGTGTAATTACATGAAAGCAATTATGCCTTAAAATAGCTTTTTTTCTTGCTTCCATTATATGTGAGAAACATCAAATGTTCTATTTTTACTAATGAAAATATCAACTTTACGCAATGGAGAAATAAATTATATGGATTGTGATAAATAGCTTCTCTTTCTGAAATAACTGGAGAAGGTATTGTTCAGTTCAAGTATGTTTTAACATCCTATATAATATTTTTTTAGGACGACAAGCTGGAGCAACTGGTGGTATGAGTTTAAATGTGTCCGGTAGGCTCGTTGGGAGAACTGAAAGTGAGGGTCAATGTTTCAATGACAATCAACAGTCTCAGTCTTATCTTGATAAAAAGTTTGCAAACATGCCCAATGACCAAGCACTGTTGTATTCTATGAGGATGGCAAATGAGCGTCATGCCTGTAAACCCCTGTTTAATTCCTTGTGCTATAATTGTGGTACTATGTTGTTTGGAAATATTTCTGAAGGTCACAAATTTAAGGTAGTCCCCTCTTTTATGGGTTTGAATGATGAAGATGCAAATGTTCAGTTTCTTTATGAAAACTTGAATCTTCCTTACAAGTCAGAAAATGGTGGTATTTGGTATTCCTGTCGGTTATGTAAAGGTGGTACTGATGTGTGCACTTTTTCTTGTGCTGATCCAAAAACAGGAGCAATGAAGATTCCAGACCAATTATCAAATTTATGCAACTCTTGGGAAAAAGGTCAAGTTGCTCTTTGTGGCCTTTTCTCAACTACCTTGCGCAAGGCAAATCCATTGAAAAGATCCTGGAGGCATATTTGTGGGGAAGTGAATGTACTGCATAAGTTAGATAAGCATTATTATGGCATGTATGGATTTTTAGTATGCAAAGATAAACAAATTCCTGTTTTTGATTCAAGGGGTAGGGTTATTGAAGCCATAAGATGGCTGTACATGAATAATCCTCTTTATACTGATTTTTTTTCCAATTATGAGACACTTTTTAGGTATGATCCCACTAGGCCTGTAGTCATTGCAATGTCTAAGGATGTGACTGATGCCAAATCAAAATCCATAGAGGAGAGATTGCATAATGATGACACTGGGCTTGTGATTCCTTTCTTCTCTGAGAATCAGTTACCAACTTTAAAAGAAGGAGAAGATAATGCTGGAATTCAACATCCTGGAAGGAATGCCGGGCAGATACAAAAGGATCTTGAGAAGAAAACTAAGGTATCCCCACTTTAATACGTCATGTGCATTTCCTTTTTCATTTTAGTCTAATTGTCATATTTTTAAAAGCCTTGATATTTTTTGATAGTTTACAAATGATCCATTGTCAATAAGTATAGTTTACAACATGAGCGGCCGTGTTGTATGAGAATTATTACAAGATCAATCACCTGATTAAATGGACAGCCCTTATTTGAGTAATAATTCATGCATTCTTAATAAGTTTTATAAGGATAATTATTTTTATCAATGTAGGTTACATATTCTGATCCAGATCTTGAAGCAAAGGCCTGGCCTCACTTATTCCCATTTGGTTGTGGTAGTTGGAAATATGGAGAAGGAGTAGGGATGACTGACTATTGTAAAGGTCGGCTTTTGAATTATGATAATCGCTGGAGATCTGACCCTCACTGGAGTTTCTTTTGGTATGATAGAATGATTAAGTCTAGAATTTTCTATTATAACAAAGTCAGGAGAGCAAGACGGAATGTTGAAAGTGGTCCTTTGACGGCTAATCAGATAAGATCAGAGAAAG